AGTACCACGAGGAAGAAAATCCCTTCCAACGATGTTCTAATGCATTAATGTAAGGAGTGCACTTCATACACATCGAATGTCGCGGTACGAACCTCAAGCACACTACTCTTACCACTACTTTGACTTCCAAGCACGCAAATCTGTGGTAGGTCTATTTGGGATGCTGAGGAACCGACGGCGGAGAATACATCTTGCAGTTTGTTGATGACAGATACAATTTCTGAACCGAGACCTGTCGACATAATGGGCAGACTAGATGATGGACAAGGGCAAAGAATTACAGAAATGAACGAGGCTAGACCGTGACTTGAGCTGCGAAACACGCAGTAGCCTTGAGCTTGAAAACACAGCCACAACTCCAAACCAGAACAAATTTCCTTCTTCTCGTGAATCTCGTCTTCCTGACCACTTACAAGTTTGTTTTGTGGTCATTGAATTCTGCTGCCAGTGTTCCAGGTAAACATTGTTCTTGAAAGCTAATGGTCACAGGTCTCCTACTCGATTATTGTTTCTCGCCTTCTTTTCTTACCATGATGATACCTGCGCAGCACTCTGTTCCATACGGCCGCCTGCAAGCCAGTAGCAACTAGATGGCTGGCTAGCTGAGGCTGCTGAGCCGAATTTTGTCTAGCATGTCACGACCTTGCTTGATACGCGTGTCCCATTGTCAGATGTTTCACGACGACAGAATCATCATGATAACTTAGGGACATACATATCTGGCACAAGCAAGAGGCGTGCAAAAGGAGAATCCCGAACACAGAGCTCGCCTTTACATAAGCTAATGAACCTTAATATACAGCCACTCTAAGTTATGAGTGACACGTTTTGAGTTCCTCGCCAGCGGCCTCAAATCATCGTGAAATCGTTTGGCGAGTACCATAAAGGGGGTGTTTTTACTACTGTAGAATAGATATAGATAGTTATTTTAATGAAACATGAGCATGTAAACATGATACCTGCTAAATGTCAGATCTTGGATGTGATTTTTGAGAACACGTGACTAATTAATATCAATATGACACGTCCGCGTCAATATCGATTCGACGCGTCTCGTCAGCACATCCTGCGTGCATTGAGTAACACGCCAGAAGAGGTTGCTTTGAAAGAACCGGTACGTTTTGTTAAATTGCATTTTTAGTTTACACTTATGACTATCTACAAGGTTGGCAACACACTTCCATGCGGCTTTTGTGGGCGTTCCGGACGACCAGAGTGTGCTATCACTATCACTGTGCCTGCGAAAGCCGCAACGACTTGGGACACCAAGTGCGCGTACCAGCACCAATTCCGATACACGTCCGCCGATGTCGGTTTGAAGAATCAACCGTGCCGCAACCTACCATTGAAGTGTGAACTCTGTCACCCTGTTCTCCCTCCAGCACCCGGCAAGACAACAAGAAAGACACCTATTGTCCCAGTCAGTGCTGTTTGGCGCTACAATATGCATGAGCACATTTTACAGGAGCACGAGGAATATGTGGTACCGGGACAGAGAGATGCTGGTTTAGCGCTGCCTGCGAATGTTTGGAAGGAGATGAGACTCACGGACTTGGAGCAGACCGCTTCACGCATCCCGAAGACGTGTTGGCAGCCTTCCTATACTCCCCCGGTCGAGATTGGGAAGGAGAACATACCTCTGTTGATTTCCTGCGGTTCAAAACGCTCTGCCGCACCCCAGGCAGGTCCATCTTGTCCTTCAAAGAAGGCTCGAACAACTATTCCAGCGGCTCTTTCTGCACTCGGTGCTTGAGTTATTACTTGATGGCGGACTTATGCCAGTCGTCTACGTACTTCATTCATTGTATTGCTGCAACTTGTACATTTTGCTCTGCGATTGTTCAGTCGATTCGTTTTTTCAAACGACTACCTAATATGGATAAATTGCGTGATCGGTTACACTGTCACGGTAGGCGTAGGGGGTACCCAAGTTCTGACAGGTCAGTGTGCTGAACTCTAGTTTTGCACGCCTCTTGGGCACAAGGATTCGCAGAATCAGGGCCGCCCTGAACAATTGGCAAACATTCGTGCCCCCAAACATTAATTGCCCCTTTCAAGCTTCTTCGTTGCAGCCTCATGGTCATGTTAAGTTCATACTTGGAAATTCGAATAAATACTTCGACAACCTTGTGGCGACCTTCGTCTTGACTTCCACTATCATGATACAGTGTGATCAATGCGACCGTTTATTTCATTCCACTCAGGCATTGTTTGCCCACTGTCGCGACAGAGCTGACCACCCCTTCTGCGAGGATTGCGACAGACTATTCTATACTTTTACTGGACTGGATCAGGTGCGGGGAGGCGCTTGTACGATTTTTCACCCAACTCACGCTCCTTTTATGTCAGCACATGCAAAATGCTGTGGTACATCGCAGCGACAGTGAATCAGACGAGTATGAAGAACCGCCCCGCGGCAATAGGTGGTTTGTTGACTTGGCAAGCCTTTATCACATCTGTGGCTCCCACGTAACCAGGCTAATTAGACGTGACAGCTGGGCCTGATGGCGGGTCTAATTCGACTGGTATTTTGCTGTAGGCACCCAAATGAATGATTATTCAATAAAGGTCGACCTTTGGAGCAGTATAAGGTGCTGGGTATGTTATCAGGGCAGGTACCTATGGGGCCTCGGCTATATCTGCATTGCCCTGTGGCTATTATTAGTAATTACCACCGGCGGCCGTCCTAATTAGGCCATGTCGTCGCCAAACCTTTGTGCTCGCTGACTATCTCACCAATGTATGTACGGATTTCAGTCGGATCTTTTTGGATAGGTAGTATTACATGTATCCAAGAATCTCTTAGGTCATAATACAGTGAAAGTACAGTATCTGTCTGTTTAAAACCCTCAAACATCTGAGGTCACCTGTAGAATACCTTTGAGAATGCAAGCATGCTCCTGCATCCTGGATGATTGTGGAATAATGTGGGGATGAAATAAGCTGGGAATCATCTTCATTCTCTGAGTCTGAGCTACCAAAATCAGAGCATAGTGCTTCATTGGGGTCCACAGAGGCATAGTGTTTATCCTGGTGAGAGCGAGACACAAATTTATAGCAGGAAGGTGCATGGTGGTAGCATTTTGTTGCCTCTGGAGGCATGTGTACACTAGCGAAGAGCTCAGTAGTTGTTAGGAAACAATACTTTTATAAAAGTACCTAGTGAAGAGATAAGCATACATCAGTGAGTGCAGGTCGAGATATGAGATACAGGCATACACACCTCAGTAGTTGTTAGGAAACAATACTGAGGTGTTGGCCTGGATATGATGATGTAAAGTACAAACAGTAACACTTGGCTAATAGGACCGGAGGATTGACATGTGGTAGAATTCATATGGTGCAAGAAGTGAGAAGTCCAGGAAGTCTAGAAGTAAGACTCTGTTCGGGCACCAAATCATAGTTTTCAAATTCATCATTCGCATCATGTGATGCTACCGTGGGATGTACTGGGAAATCCTGGATACACAAGATATGCGCCTAGATAACGGCAAGACAATGACATTGACTCAATGCCAGACATAGAGATGGGCGCAACTGACCTTACACCTGCTGAACTCAACAATGAGGAGTTTCAGCAATGTCGGGAATGTTTCCAGCACCTTACAATGATACTGATAGGTGCTATTGGCCAGGTCTTAACAATCTATAACTCAATATTCTTATCAAGGACACTACCAACACCTTACCACACATCTGCACTCAGTGGCAAAGCATGGGTACTTGAGCTTATGACAGGTCATCCTGAATGTATCCGGCACAATTTGGGTGTTAGCTTGAATGTTTTCAAGTCATTGTCACGTGTTCTATACACAAATGGTCATGTGCGGTCCCGCAATGGTGTTTCTGTTGAAGAACAACTGGCAATTTTTCTCTACAGCTGTACAACTGGACTATCGACATGCCTTACGGGTGAAAGGTTCCAGTGCTCCCCAGAGACGATTTCAAGGTATTTTTTTCATTATTTATATTATGTTGAACTAATTGCACTTAGTAGATATTTCAAGAAAATGTTGTTGTTCTTTGCATCACTGCCTTTCTACTCATCACAAGTTCAACTCCCTACTCAACACTCTCCGATCCCATCCGTAATCCAGAACAACCCGCGCTATAGATTCTTCGACAACTGCATTGGTGCTGTTGATGGCATGCATATCTGTGCCTTTGCACCGCTCGAGGACCATCCATTCATGCACAATCACAAAGGCTTCATATCACAGAACTGCCTTTTCATTTGTGACTTCGATTTCTTGTTCATATTCTCACTTTGTGGATGGGACGGCTTCACTGCAGATGTGACTTTATGGCATGATGCATGCACACACGGCTTATACATACCCCCTGGAAAGTACTTGCTTGCTGATGCTGGGTTTGGGACATTGGACACACTCCTTGTACCGTATAGAAATGTATGCTATCATCTGAAAGAGTGGTGTCAATCAAATATTGGGTGAGTTCAGTTGTCTTTACATTCAAAGTTTATGTTCTAAATACATGTTCAAGCCCTCAAAACGCAAAGGAACTGTTCAATCTTTGACACACATCATTGCGCAATATCATAGAACACATATTTGGTGTCATGAAACGTCAGTGGCGCATCCTGCAGCTGCCACCGGAATATAGTATGGCTACTCAAGCCCGCTTACTGGCAGCACTATGCGCCTTACACAATTTTATTTACAGACACAACCCTGACCTATTTGACCAGCTCTATGATGGACAAGTTCTGGAACACAACGGTATTGATGATATAGCGCTAGGAGAACATGGTAGTGGATCTGCAGATGCTGCAGAGAGGGGTCGAGCAGACCGACGCTGTGATGCCATTGCATCCTCAATGTGGGAAGATTATACTGCAGAGTGTGCGTGATGCAGAATCATATTGGCAGCTTAAAGTACATAGTACAAGAATGGAGTGCATAATGGGACCATTCTACTTCTCCGCTCAATGATCACCCACTGGGCCCAGCAGTACTAGCATTGATTGCAGATAGGGTCTTTCACAGCCACAGTTCCCTGACCTCAACATCACTGTTCACATACAATGTGATGTCTCTCGGGTTCCTCCCCAAGAAACTCCCAATGTCCATCCGTTCCTGCGGTGATAAGCCAATTGTGGTGCTATCATCTCGGAGCAGTTTAAGTGCTTGAGTGTACTCTGGGTTTGATGATGATTGGGAATCATCAAATTTCACTGTAAACGTTTCAAAGATGTTATTGAACCTCACAAGCTCATCGCTACTCTCCTGCTGCACCTTTGCAGCAACTGAAACAGGTCGAGAACACTTACCCCCACTGACAGGAGGCACTGAGCCAAATGCACTTTGACTGTCATGCCTGTGCTTCGAATTGCGACTGACGCTAGTGATGACTGAACTTGTGTTTGAGCTGGAGAGAAAGGTGGATGGAACACTGCTAGGCAAAGATAGGTTTGGCAGGTTAGATCCAGTTGCCTCGGTGGTTGCATCACGCCGCATGCTAGTGCTGGTGTTGGTTTCATTTACAGAAGGAGTGGGCGGGGAAAGATTAAGGGCCTCAAGTGCACTGGATGCGCTGCTAGTCATGGTGGAGGACATGCTGTCAAAGCCTGTGGGGGAATAGTAGATATTTGAGTTGTTTCCCTGTCTCTTGCCATGCAGATGTATGTTGTTGATGAGATCAAAGAAAGGGAAGCCCTTGTTCTTGAATGACTTTGCTGCTGCACAACCCTTTTGACAAAGGCTTCAGTTAGAAATGACAGTAAAGACCATGATTGCGGTGCAGACCTTTACAAAAGCTGCCCATGCACTCTCAGTCTCCAGAGTAATTCCAGCACCATGCTCATCACTCCAAGTAAACCCAGAAGCCCTCTTAATTTATAGAACAGCATTGTAGGCTGTTTTGAGCTGATAGAACCAGGTCAGTCAGTACACTAGATAGAGGGGCGGGAGCAGCCTAGCAACCACTTACATTCGCCCATTTTGAATGGCAAACCGAGTGTGTCTTCTCAGCACTCCTCTGCATTGGGAATTTCTCCTTGAGATGATTGGACACTTCATTGAAAGTCTTTGTTTTGAAGTTGCCATCATCAGTGATCGACTTCTGTTCATGTAGGAATTGAAGGAACAATTCTTCTTCTTGCTTGGTCCAGTAAGCTGTAGGTTTGCGAGATCGTATATTAGAAACATTGGTAGGACATTGTGAGTCACTTTCATTGCTGATATGACCCCTGGAACGAAGAGATCGTGCTGAGCCTTGGCTAGATGATGTTAGCGCACGTCATGTGCACGTGAGCGATACGAACATCGTCTGCGGAGTTTAGAGGTTGGAATACCAACCACGGACGACATATATATATCTTACCTTCCATCATTCCCCTCTTCCCTCAGTCCGTTACATCAGACTGAGGGTAAGTCGCTTATTATCATCACACCATACCTAGATTACTCACATATCATTCATAGAGACTGATATTGTCTAGGTACTTGCTAATACAGTCTGTTACATCAGACTGAGGAGACTGATATTGTCTAGGTTCTTATAGGTTATGAGCCCTGGCTCGTTATAATTAATGGCCGGAAACTTACAAGACCAATCAGCGTCCGAACGACCTGATACGGTCACCTGCGTCCCGAACGCAAGTCTCCTATTCGAAATCATTTTGTCGAATATAGAACCATTACCTCTTCGGGCGAGAAGCTCGAGCGCCGCTACGTCGAGCGCTGTCTTCTTAGATAGATGATCTATAGATAAACACCTATAAAACCAAATATCTCCACGGTCAGCGATTCAGACAAATACCAATGACTGATAACGTGGTCGTTCGTGGGTGGCTTGCCTTGCTCCTAAGATACAGTCAGTAGAATATGGCTCGCACAAAAAGTCAGTAGTCAGTGATCAGCAGTCAACAGTCAATCCAACAATATGGATATGAAACACAGCGATGAGAGAAAAACACAGAACTCAGTCAGTCAGCGATCAACAACAACAACAACAATCACAACAACACAGACAACAACAAAACAAATCAGGAAACACAGTCACTCTAACAATATAGAGATGACACAAAACAAACAGACACTCTTCCTAACACTTCACACAGCAACAAGGATTCGTACACAAACTTAGTGCAGCAAGTTGTGCGGAGTTACAATGAGAGTCCCCCTCAATACAAAAACAGGTGAAACTACCGTCAGGCCTAGTCAAGCCTTTGTAGCACTCTTAGCCTAATATTGAACCTGCTGCCAAGGAACTCACAATGAGTATTAAACAGACTCAGGAACGGGCGACCTTGGATTTCAATACCAAGTCCCCTTTTCAATAGCTAAAGTCTAACTCACAATGACTACCCTCGATCGGTATAACACACAGATGTAAGAGGTCAGGTATCACTGTCAACACCTAAAGTCTCCCCACTAGACTATCAGAGTCTTCCATGGACAAAAAGAGACAACACCAAACTTCTGGGTAAGAATGAGACTGAAACTTTGGTACTTGAGAGAAAGTTGATAGGTTGAGACCACAACAACAACAAAAAAAACAAGACCGCTACAAAAAAAACACGAACATGAACACGATCACGGAGACTGTTAGCAACAACGATCTCAAAGCAAACAGACAGCGATCAGAGAGATGGTCAGTATAGACAGTCACCAACGCACCACACACTTGAGACAGAGAGAGAGAAACAGAAACAGAGAAACAGAGAAACAAAGAAACAGAGAGAGAAACAGAGAACACGAGCTTCAGTTACGAATCTCAGACACGATCTCAGAGAGAGAGAGAAAAGAAAAACAATCACAGAGAGATTCACAGACAGAGACACAGACAATGACACAAAAGAAACAGAGAAATTTAGACAGACAATCAGGAGAAAACAGAAAAAGAAAAACTAGTCTTGCTAGTCGTCAGACACAGCAAGCTCAAGGTATGTGCTAGATGTTCAACACAATGAGCTCAAAAGTATTGTGCTGGTTGTTGAGCACAGTGAGCTCCAACCTTGAACTGCACTTGCTGGTTGCTGATTCACACTTCACTCACAATTTTATTCTGAGAGCTAAAAACAGTGGGGAACTGCTTGTTTTATTGGGCAAAAAGCTGGTCCTTATATAGACAAATTTGGTGGCTATACTACTAGTTTCTCGTACTTAAAGTTGTAACTTTAGTTCGATAGCACCAAGTCACACGGTATCTTTGAGTCAAAAGTAAATATTCATAACTCTAGTTGGTATAATGATGAGTCAGCAAGAGCTGCGTATGGCTCATGGGTCAGGTGACCCTTGATGACTCAGCTAGACAAGAGTGAGAAACGATTACATATTGTGTACATATGTTTATAAAATCTGTGGCTGATGAATTGACTGGTAACATAATGACATAGGACGCGTGTTTAGTGATTTGTAAGCTTTCCCACAGGGTAACCTTACGCAAACATATTTTTCACAGTCACCTGATATGTGTGAGAATCTGTCTGTCAGAGTCTCCCTCATGGCTGACTAAGCAAAACTCATCGCAGGAATAAATGTACAAAAATATTCAATCCGCTCGCGTACAAACTCATAAAAGTGAAAAAAAGCGAAAAATATTCCCTTAGCCTCAGTCTGACTTCAGGTCACAGGGAAAATGATTTCATAGTGATTCTAGGGCATAGGGGCTCATAGGAGAGTATCGGTCATCCATGCACCGAACCAGTTTGGTGCAGGTCAGCGCGTATATATACCCGACAGGACACGATCCTTTCCCCTAACTACTCTTAATCTCAAATGCCCATCATGCCGCCTCGCGCTCCTCACACATGCTCCAAAAGTTCTCTCCTACAGGCAGCTTAAGTACAGCTACCCCCATCACTGTGTCTACTGCTGGCAAGGCCATACCTGCGCTGATGACAGCGACTACCGTGACCTCAGTGTCGCGTCCCTCCATCACGGCGATCACTCTCAGCCAGACTGACCTGAAAGAGATAGAGATCTTAGACCGCAGCAAGAACAACTGGGGCATCTGGTCCGATAAGATGCAGAACTACCTCTTCTTGAAGCACGGCGGCAGATACATTCTTGGGTTGATCCCACGTCCTGACCCGGCTGTTGACCCTTCCAGTGCCGGTCATTGGGACCTCAACAACCTTTGCATCATCGCGGCACTTCGTACCCGCTCCAGCCCCGAGGAACAAGAGTTCCTGCGATCTTATGCCGACGCGCATCTCGCCTGGGATGCTCTCCAGTCCTGACACGAGAAGATTGGCCCCATTGCTCAAATCTTACTGATCCAGCAAGCGCTCGCCATTCGATACCGTCGGTCAGAACGCCTCTCTACCACCAGCACTGAAATCAGTGACATGGTCAGGCGCATATATGCTATTGGAATCCCCAAGGAGGACGACTTCACAACCATAATCATGCTCAACGCGATGAACGACGAGCTCACCCACATTCGCAACCACATCGCTGACGCCCTCTCTACCAGTACCTCCACCTCCATCTACGGACCTACCAACATACGTTCTCGTTTGGACATGGAACAGCAACTCCTTGACGTCGACAAGAAGGGGTCTGGAGATATAGCCATGGTTGCCGGAAAAGGGAACTGCAGTCGCGAAGCCCGTCCTGGTAAGACCTGCTCTGAGTGCGGCGTTGCCGGTCACTCAACTTGCTGCTCCACCTGTAAGAACTGGGGGCATGTAGCTAAAGATTGCTTCGGCAAAGGGGGCGCTATGGAAGGCAAACACGATGAGGTACTGTCTTGCAAGCGGACGACACGCGACGCTAAGAGCCCCTCTAAACCTACCACAACCGGTAAACCCGGCGGGTTACGCTATGACACTGCTGGACATGCATATCTGCTCGATAGTGAGACCCATCAGGCAATCTATGTCGCCACCTCACCATCCGCCCCCACGCCTGAGTCGCCTTCTTCCTCCCAGGAATTCGCAGGGCTCGCATACGACCCCCTTCCATCTGCCCACATCCGGGAACTCCCTGGTTCAGACGACGAGGAATATGATGCCTTATTCGCGGACGTCGAGGACTTGAAGACGAGTATTGACTGGCACGCTCACACAAAAGAGGTCGACTTTGCCGGGCTGACTTACAAAGCACCCAATCAACGCAAGTGTTCTATCATTGACCCATTGTTGACCCCCTTCTTCCTTGATAGTGGGGTGTCTGTCCACATTAGCAACACTGAGTCCGATTTTTACTCTCTGCGTCCTGTCCCCCCGCTGTCATGCATGGTATGTGATTCATACCATGTCAGATATATATAGAGAGTGATAAGGAAGATATGAGAGACTGTCTAGCCCTCTGTCACTGAGTTACCTTTCTATTTTTCCTTTATTTCATTGTCTTGTATTTTATTTCTCACTTTTCAGATTTATTTTACCTTGTATTTTTATGAGCATGTGACCTTCTGTTTATTTCTCATTATTTATTTTTATTTGGCTACTTTCAGCCACAGATTTGTTTGTCAAAGTTTTGTATCTCTATTTATTTCTGACTGTTTATTTTTATTTGGCTTCTTTCAGCCACCAGATTTTATTTGTCAGCACATCATGTGACTGGGGAATATTCTGGTTTGTAACATTATTTAAGCTGACTCAACATGTTTAGTCATGATTGGTCATGCTTTGTAACAACATTCACATGACTCATCATGTTTTGTCATGATTTGTCATGCTTTGTAAATTCTTTGTAAGATTACACTGTATTTGTAATGTACTTAGTAATAAGCTGATTCATCATCTGGTTTGTAAGCCACATTCTTACCAATCCATCTGATAAATCATGCTTAGTAAGGGGGTTCCCAAAAGGTATAAAAGGACCCCATTTTCACCCATAAAATATAACTTCCCATTTTTCATTCTTCTCTCAAACCGTGTGAGTACGTAAGAATAAAAGTGCAGGCAACGTGCCTTGAAGTAAGACTAAGACACATCATTATTCTATTCTAAAGTTATATACTACCTTACAGGGGTTGACTATATAACTTTCGTTATCGTTATTCTACTCTAGGTTATATACTACCTTACAGGGGTTGACTATATAACCATCGAACAGCTCTCATTCTAAGCTTTACGTGTATACATAAGACTCTCTCTTTCAACGGAAAGTGAGACACATATCTAAGGACGACAAAGTTGAAACAGACTTTCATAGGTTGAAACACGACCTACTAGGCTGAAACAAACCTAACGAATTTATCCAGAACACAGAACATTCCACAACACTTCGTATCAGACTACACAAGAAGAGGACAACAAACTAAATCCTCCCAAGAACTCACCACGTTACCTCCCACGAAGTAGAAAAGTCGGAGACCGTGGACTTAAGGACTGGCAAGAAGTCTTCCCTGTGTA